AGTTTTTATTTGTTTGTTGTCTTTTGTTTGTTTTCTCTGTAATAGGCGCAAATATTCCAATATCACGCCTTGTTGATTGGTAAATTCTAAATACGTAGACTTCTACTATATCTAGGGTGTTGGGGTGATTTTCTAATATGGAATTAATGGATGAATGGAGGCAATGTAATGTTGAGTTCAGATTTCGATTCAAAACAAACTATATTGATTAGATACAATATAAAACAAAAAATATTTTCCGACCTTTGTTCAACTATAATTATCGGCATCTTCTTTAAAGGGAAAGAATTCTAGTTTCCAGTTATATACACGCTTTTATAAAAGACATATATATATACAAACTCAAAAATGTTTCGAAATAAATAAAAAACGGTCCATGTAGCCATATTACTTTTTAAAAACCTATGACAAATTTGTTTTTAATATCAAAACATGACCATTTTATTATTTTTCAACACACACACTAAATATATATATATTAAAAATAAAAAAAAAGGCATATCTTGACCAGGATTATTTTTCATATATATATATATATATATATGTATTTAATTTATATATTTAAGATATAAATTTGATTGATGAAATTATTTCAAACTTCGCTGATATACTTAAAATTACAACCTCGCACTGAGTCCATATAAGTTTCTTCTGACACAGCGAACAGAATTCATTATGCATTTTGGAATCCAAACTTTCTTCTTTCGAGAGAATCTAATTTGTAGCATCTGGCAGAGAATATCTAATTTATGATTACTTTGTCATTTTTATATTCCTTCTCAGCACAGGATAACATTTCTCGACAACCTAGAGGTCCTTTCTAGCGATATGATCTCTTACACCAATATATCCTAACCTATAAATTATCGACACTCTATAAAACCGGGGATATTTTGGGTTAATAATGAGAACTATAGACAGAAATTCTGGGTGAATAACTTTTACTTTATTCGAGAATTATCTTATTTTATTTATCTGGATTATATACTTATGGTTATGTTTCGTCTTTTTTTTAAATTTCTGTTGTCTTTTCATTCTGATTCAATGACCTACATAATTACTATTAGTTAAATCATATCTGATATAATCTAAACCACATACAGTTAAACCTGTCTAAAGCGCCCCTTCTTGGGACTCACCAAAATAGAGTGCTATAGAGAGGAGGTGCTATAGACAGGTCACCTTTAATGCAAACGCATCGTACTACGTATTTAAAATCGGGCGCTATAGAGAGGAAGGCGCTATTTAGAGGAAGCGCTATAGACAGGTTTAACTGTATCACCTAAAAAATTGATAAAATATTTCACGCTTCTGCATAGAAACCTCCTATATTATTAAATTATAAACACTATATATACTAATACTTAAAGTTACACCGCATAAGTTTCTTTTTCTATGAAAAATCAATATTTATTTCCCGCCGCAGTCCTTTATAATGTATTATAAGTTACTTTAAATATTATTTACGAACGGAGGAATACGTCCAGGGTAGCCTAGTGGACATGGCACCTGCCCGGTAAGCAGAAGGTTGTGGGTTCGATTCCCGCCCCTGGACACTTTTATTTTTCCGTTCGCCATTACTCTTCATATTTTCACCCTCTCATACCTCATTCAAAAAAGTTAGAAATAGTAAATATTTATTTTTGAAATAAATACTGATTTTTCATAGAAAAATAAACTTATGCGGTGTAACTTTAAGTATTGTTTATAATCACCCGCCGCAGTCCTTTATAATACTATATATACTGCTAAATATTATCGTTAATTACGTATATACTTACAGGCATTTATATTTTGCGGTAGTAGATATTTCTTTACACACTCTTACCTTCTTCTCATTATTAAATGCGAACTATGTTATAATTTCATCCTTACACAATGATATAGCTGCCTAGAATTAAAATTTACTAAACTGCTAGAAGGGCTCACAACTGATACGTCATGAAATTTTAATCTTTGAAATATAGGTATTTATAAATAGTTTAAATTATAAAAATAGTGTGAAATAGACAAAGATTACAATTGAAAAACGTGTTTAAAGGCTGTTGAATTGCTCGTATAAACCTATATTTTTATAAGAAATTTCTTGTATATGTTGGGATGATCAACATTTGAACAAGTGTAAGAAATAAAGTTGATACCTTTTGCTTATTTCACTCTTATATATATTAAAAAGGGCATATTCTGACCAGGAGCACATGTGCTTTACAGAAGGCAGAGCGCTATCTGGTGGAACAGAAATCAACTAAACATTGATTTAGCCTGTTCCCTGATATTTGGCCAACCCAATTTCTTGATAAATCAAGAAAAGCCATCCACGAATATATATACTTATATATATATGAGTACTATCACAACTATTGATTACGGAAGATGACCGACTTCTGCGACAGGTACAATTGTTTGAGATTCTTCGGTGACATCGCGCGACGCAGGGGATGGAGTACACCATACTGACGGAAAAGACGTCTGGGTGACGTATACCTGGACGTCCGCCGACACACTTCGTGGACCAATTAAAGGAACTCGCTGGTTTAACGGTCACCGAGATGGTACATTGAGCTCAAGACAGAGATGGCTGGCGTAGCGTCGCGTTTGGGATGTAATACATACAATGGACCACAACGTACGATCGCGAATAAAATGGTATTGCTATATATAAGAGTAAGAAGGATGGAGGTATCAGTTTATATTCAACTCCTATTCATGGAGGTTTGGTAATCTTCCATGACATTGTGTATGTGGTCAACATTGTTTATGATATTACAATGAAGTAAAAAAATGTTATGGAAATGGCCATATTAACGCATCTGACAATGTCGGAGGAATCCTCTGATATTTAAATTACAATAAAACCATATTAAAATTAAACCATGAAATAAATACTATCAAGACATTAACAAAAAGGATTTATACACATTGTTCAAATTAAACATACAAAATAATAGAAACACAAAATATAATGAAAAACCTTTTCATAGGAGGATACCCAAAAAACATCATACTAAGACATTTTTACAACCCATCCACAATTAATAATAGCCAAATATATAGATCAACATGCGTTATACCATATTCTCCTAATAGTATAAAAATAGCAATAGAACTAAGAAAATACGGAATTAGAACATTTAACGAAAATACCTCGAATATTGGATCAATAGTAAGAACACCCATGTGAAAATACGTTTAGGGTGCATTTCATTTTGATCACGCATATAATTCTACAACTTTACATGAAATTGCGTATGTGAGCAGTGAAAATATCACATAATGAATGAATTCTGTGTAGCTTATAGATATAGGGCGTAGTAAATAATTAGAGTATATGACGAAATAGACTATCATTAAATATTAGATGAGATTATGTAGTTAACAACAATTACCTGTGGACAATTATCAATTAGCTTGTGGAAGAGCTTAATGTTCTGGAACTTGCAATTTGACTTAAAATAAAAGACACGCTTTACCCGATGGCCGATTATAATATATATTTAAATATCCTGGACATATATATATATATATTTTTTGAAGATTTGGCATTCTATAATTAAAATTATATTTATAAAAGATGCATATATTGGATTTCTAATTATTTTATTGTTCCAATATTTCGAGGGGCAACTCGCCTCTCTTTTACGAGGATGTTTTTGTTTTTCACTAGAACATGCGCGCGCGCGTACACCACTCTCGTTCTACAAGGCCAATGAAAGAATTGTATCTTTGATTTAACTATTGTATTCAGTTTATATACAGCAAATAATTATATTTAACATTATATATTATTATTTTATCTATGAAAGATATAGAGATTTATATACAACAGTGTAATTGTAAAAAATAGTGTGTTTACATATTAATTCTAAATTTAAAAATATTGAAAGTAAAAATAAATGAGTAAATTAAAAGTATATATATACATAGTTATTTATAAATAATTAAGATATGGATTCTTTATAAATTTCTGGAAAATCAATTTTTCTGTTTATACTCTGTTTATCTTCGGCAGAAGCCCAATTTTCTAAAAACAGTCTACTATGCTTTTCTGTTATATTTTTGTATATAATTGTGGTCTGTTTGAAACGCATGTTCTAGTGAAAAACAAAAACATCCTCGTAAAAGAGAGGCGAGTTGCCCCTCGAAATATTGGAACAATAAAATAATTAGAAATCCAATATATGCATCTTTTATAAATTATATATATATAAATGAAACAATGCCACAGGTTTCTGGAGATGATTTCATTTTATTAATGTAGTCTCAAGCTTTCGGACATCTCTCCCCTTCTACAGGAGAACATAAATAAACGAAGAAAATGCCGCCTGATACTAAACTAATACTTTAGCATCAGGCGGCATTTTATTCGTTTACTTATGTCCTCTTGTAGCAGGGGAGAGATGTCCGAAAGCTTGAAACTACGTTAATATATATTTATCTCTCTATATATGGTCGTTTAATAATTCCAAAAATTATATTGTTTCCAACAATTGAAATATGAACACCCAGTGCGCTATCTTTAATCGAAATTGGAGAGTTTTAGTCGCGGTAGTTTTCCCACGAGTTTTTACATTTTCAAATATTTAACAACAATATATTCTCTAACATATTTTTATTATATAATACTTTCTTCTCTATTCTCTGTTGAATAAACCTTTTACATTGCCGTAGGGTCTCGGTTTTTGTTGAGAAATAGAATAAGATATGTAGAGCGTAAAATTTCCCATTTTACTCATTACAACCGATATATATATCAAAAGAGTGTCGATTTAAAGTAATTATAAAATAAAATGGATTTGAAAATAATAAATGAAAATTCCATGCGCAATTATCACAAGCATTTGAGGATGTAAAATCACCACGTGCAAGTAAAGAAATCTTGTGTATCCTTAATACATTTATATTTATTTGACAAAATATATTCAGTTTATTTATTAACAAAACCCCCCGGCTGAAAATATTAAATTGTAAATATTTTCTCATTTCTAATTACTATCATATAAGGCGGATTAGTTCAGTTACGAAAGCTTTAGACTGAAGATCTAAATGTTCGTGGTTCGAACCCGCGTTTCGGCATATTTTTATTTATTCTAATTATTTTTGCGATCTTTTTTGAAATATTGACTGAGGTGATATTTTTTTAATTGACAATTTTTATACACGCACACACACACATATATATATATATATATGAATATATATATAAAAAACAATAGAAAAATAAAAAATAAGTGGGTCAGGTGTTGATATTAAAAATAAAGAAAGCATATCCTGACCACGAGCACGTTTAGTTGATTTCTGTTCCACTAGATGGCGCTCTGCCATCTAAAAAGCACACGTGCTCGTGGTCAGGATTTGCTTTATATATATATATATTTACATATATTTATATTCATAATAAAAATTCATATTAAAATATATCAAATTACAAAACCTTTTTAGACGCGTAATATTCTTTTTAAAATAAAACAATTTCTACTGCCCTTACTGCAATGGAAAAATTAAAGGGATGGCCTGGCTCATCAGGGTTCACCACTGATGAGTCAGGCCCTCCCTTTAATTTTTCCATTGCAGTAAGGGCAGTAGAAATTGTTTTATTTTAAAAATAATATTACGCGTCTAAAATAGTTTTGTAATTTGATAACAGATGGCGCGCTAGTGCATCGTAATTAAAATATATAATAATAAAAGACATTATTATGATTCAAATATAGATTGCTCTATATCCAGAACATATATATCTTTGCCTACAAAAAGTGTTCTAATTTCATTCAACGCCTTTCTTTATCTTTAAGATAAAGACACTAAATTCATTAAAATGACCCTTATTCTCTCATTAACTACTTACAGTCCGCAGTAGGTCCGTGTGGGACTTGAACCATCCCATTATGGATTCAGCCAGCGCCTTGTGAAAGTCCTGAATATTCTTCCGTAAATTCTCTGCTGTACTCTCCTTGGAGGACTCCATCTTCGAGCTCTGGTCGTCGTCGGTCTTGAAGTTCTCCGGCCGCAGCTCCTTCACGCGGTCTGCGTACCGCAGGGTGTTGAGGGAGTGCTCGCAGGAGTGCATGCCCGGTGAGATCATGGCGATCATGCACGTGCGCGAGTTCTCGCCCATGAAGGAATCCTTCAGAATCTGAGTCAGCTTGCTCGCTCGAAAAGGAAGATGTGCTCTTTTTCTTCCCAGTGCTCGAAAGAGATCGTTTAAGTAAAATATTTTTTAAATGACTCTATGTGCTTGGTCGTCACAATCGGGACTAGCGACCGCTCCGCATCTACTGGGAGAACAACCATTCTCAAAACCTTAGCGTAAAAATGTTGATTAATTTCATTGTATTTCCTCTCTCTGTATTAATTCCGAATATACATAATATATATAGCATTCACCACTGATAAGCCAGGCCCTCCCATTAATTTTTCCATTGCAGTAAGGACAGTAGAATTTTTTTTTAAAGAATATTACGCGTCAAAAATATTTTCGAATTTTGATAACAGATGGCGCGCTAATGCATCATAACATAATAGATATATTTCATAATATAGGTATAAATAATAGAATCAAAGCATGTGAGGATGCGTATCTTATAAGTTTTAATAAAGGCGAGCTTTCGGGTCAATAACCCTTCTTCAGGACATCATGTCTGACTGATCTTGCATCTTATATACATATCCATTCTGAGAAAAATCAGCATATATACAAGAAAAACAAACGTATCAGCCAATCAGTTAGAAAAGTAATAGTAAGAAATAACCGCGTGTCCCGAGCATTTCATGTAGGAAAAACACAAGAAAATTCACGATTAAGCCACGATACAGTTTAAGGCTGCATGAGTAAAATTAATCAAAATAAAACTTGCTGGCAATGGTCTCCTAAGGCACACTATGGCAATATTGCTTTGTATATATCTGGGATGTCTATATGTCTATTAATACTGTTATGTCTTAAAGAGAGCAACGCCTCGACGACCAATCTTTTGTATTTGCTCTTGATTCCTGAGTAATATGCCTGTGGATGAGAGGTATCAAAAGAATGTCCTGTCTGTTGAATGTGTTGCACTATAAGAGATCTGGGTTCACTGTTTCTAACGTTTCTGTGGTGTTCTTCTATCCTATCCTTAATTCTTCGGCCTGTCTCTCCTATATACAAAATGTTGCAATCTGAGCATTTTAAGGAATACACGGAGTTTGTAAGATATGGTAAGGTAATGGGAAAACTGTTTTTGGTGATGAGGTTCCTAACTATTGTTTCTAATTTAGGAGTGTTGGTGTAATAGGTGCGGATTCCGTACTTGTTTTTTAAGTGTCTAGAGATGTTGGTACTATAGTTAGAGTATGGAATGATACAAGTCGATCTATAAGTCTGACTATTTAGCTGCCCTTGGGGATTGTGGAAATGTCGGAGAATGAAGTTTCTGGGGTAACCTGAGTTCATTAGGTGATTAATCACATTTTGTGTCTCTGTTTGTTTAAATTCAGATGTTGAGCAGTGAGTAAAAATACGTTTCGAAAGAGTTTTGACAGTATTAATTTTATGGCTAAGGGGGCAGTATGAGGAATAGTGTATATAGGAGGGATGAAAGGAGGGCTTATAGTGTACATTGGTGATATATCTGCTATTTTGTTTAGTAATCATGATATCTAAGAAAGCTAAGGAAAAATTGTTTTCTTTCTCTATTGTAAATTGGATGTCCGGAAATAATGAATTTAATTTGATATGTATACTGTCCAAGGATTCTGTTTTGACTATGCAGAAAATATCGTCTATGTATCTAAACCAAGAATAAATATCTGCTGGGAAATGGCCTGTAATTAAACTATCTACTTTTCGCATAACTATTTCAGAGAGTGGTGAGGACAAAGGGCTACCCATGGGAGTGCCCTTGGTTTGCCTGTAATATCGTTTATCAAAATTGAAGATACTATTGCTTAGACAGATCGATATTAAGGTGGTTAACTTAGATATCATATCTGCTGTATACCCGTGCGACCGGAGGAATTCTGTGGTGCATCCTATGAAAAGGGAGTGGGGGAGACTGGGGTATAGATTGATGACATCAAAAGATATCATAAGACTATTGGGGACAACCGGTAATTGTTGTATATGGGCTAAGAATTTAGGTGTGGAAGAGATGGACGTCGAGGCGGCGCCCTCTTTAAGTATGGGTATGATTATCTTAGCTAAGTACTGAGCTAACGGGGCTGTGGGGGAGAGGTGAAAGGCTACTATTGGTCTAAGGGGGATATTTATCTTATGTACCTTAGACATGGCAGAATTACTAATAGACATCACTAGTGAAATAAAAACCCAAGACTCAATGCTAGACACCAGACACCGCAATAAGCTCTCATTCTGGTCCAAGAAATACAAAGTATGCCTATCTCCCCAAGATCAACAGCATTCAATTTTGAATTTATCTAGCTTTGTACCTTCCTCAGATCAGGCCAGCATACTTTCAAAAGGCCTCAAACACAGATACCCATCCAAACTGGACAAAATCTCATTAATAGCAGGAATAGAGTCATCCATTACGGGCCTGAACATACATGATAAGCATTCAATTAGGAACCACGTCATATCTGTCTTAAACAGACCTACAAACAACCCAGCCAATAGCCATCAAGCCAACCAGATTATAAGAACACTGTCCAAAAATAATAACATAGTTATCACAAGATCGGACAAGGGATCTAGAACCGTCATTATGAACACTACAGACTACATCTCAGGAATGAATCAAATATTGAACAACTCGGATGTATTTACCCCGGCCACAGCGGAAGAACAAATTGCCTCGAATTCCAAGTACAAAAAAGAACTTAGGACCCTATGCAGGAATAAGATTATAACAACAGATGAACTCCAAGGTTTCCTTTCGAATCTGCATGGTCAGGCCTATATCTACGGCCTCCCTAAGGTACATAAGATAAATATCCCCCTTAGACCAATAGTAGCCTTTCACCTCTCCCCCACAGCCCCGTTAGCTCAGTACTTAGCTAAGATAATCATACCCATACTTAAAGAGGGCACAGCCTCGACGTCCATCTCTTCCACACCTAAATTCTTAGCCCATATACAACAATTACCGGTTGTCCCCAATAGTCTTATGATATCTTTTGATGTCATCAATCTATACCCCAGTCTCCCCCACTCCCTTTTCATAGGATGCACCACAGAATTCCTCCGGTCGCACGGGTATACAGCAGATATGATATCTAAGTTAACCACCTTAATATCGATCTGTCTAAGCAATAGTATCTTCAATTTTGATAAACGATATTACAGGCAATCCAAGGGCACTCTAATGGGTAGCCCTTTGTCCTCACCACTCTCTGAAATAGTTATGCGAAAAGTAGATAGTTTAATTACAGGCCATTTCCCAGCAGATATTTATTCTTGGTTTAGATACATAGACGATATTTTCTGCATAGTCAAAACAGAATCCTTGGACAGTATACATATCAAATTAAATTCATTATTTCCGGACATCCAATTTACAATAGAGAAAGAAAACAATTTTTCCTTAGCTTTCTTAGATATCATGATTACTAAACAAAATAGCAGGTATATCACCAACGTACACTATAAGCCCTCCTTTCATCCCTCCTATATACACTATTCCTCATACTGCCCCCTTAGCCATAAAATTAATACTGTCAAAACTCTTTCGAAACGTATTTTTACTCACTGCTCAACATCTGAATTTAAACAAACAGAGACACAAAATGTGATTAATCACCTAATGAACTCAGGTTACCCCAGAAACTTCATTCTCCGACATTTCCACAATCCCCAACAGCAGCTAAATAGTCAGACTTATAGATCGACTTGTATCATTCCATACTCTAACTATAGTACCAACATCTCTAGACACTTAAAAAACAAGTACGGAATCCGCACCTATTACACCAACACTCCTAAATTGGAAACAATAGTTAGGAACCTCATCACCAAAAACAGTTTTCCCATTACCCTACCATTTCTTACAAACTCCGTGTATTCCTTAAAATGCTCAGATTGCAACAGTTTGTATATAGGAGAGACAGGCCGAATAATTAAGGATAGGATAGAAGAACAC